GCGTGCATTCCCAAGGAGGCAGCGCCATCCCTAACGGCGGGGCGCACGGCCGGGCGGCACGGCGCTCGTCCAAGCGGCAACGGCGCCTGTCAAGCCACACAGGCGACCGCCATGCAAGCAAGCGCGCGCTATGCACACTCACTCGAACAGGAAGGACGGGTCTGAAATGTTGGTCTGCTGCAGCACCTTCTGGTCAGTGATGAACCCGTCGCCCCAGTTGAGCCCAAGATACCTCCCCGCGCAGCCGCCCGCGCCGTCCTGGCCCAAGGCGTTGACCGATATGATGGCGTTCGGGTCGACCGCGCGAATGGCGGCCGTCGCGGCGGCGACGAGGTCGGAGCCCTTTGCGCACTTGGTGCAGGCGCGGTCCCACTGGCAGCCGAAACGGCTGCGTGCGGGTGCGATGGACCGGGCAGGGGCGGCCAGTTTGGGGGGTGCACGTTGAGGTTTGGATCCCTCCTGGAGAGCACCTGCGAGCATTCTATTGCTGAAAGCCTGCCTGAAAACCTCTGGCTGGATAATGAGGTAATAATGCAGCTGCAATCAGTTTGATCCTGCATGATGAGGTCAGGGCAACACACGCACATGCCGGACACACACACGCGCACGCGCACGCGCACGCACACGCGCACGCGCACGCGCATGCACACGCACTCGCACCCACCTGGCTTCATTGACAAGGTCTGGCACGATGCGGCCAGCCAAGAGGTCGCTGTTGGGCTGCGCCATTACGGCGGCCCACAAATTGCCCCAGTTCGATGCGAACAGCTGGGGGTCAAGCATGTTGGGGTCGTCGTCGCTGGTGGGGTGGTAGTCGAGCTGCGGGAGCGGGTTGAGTGCGTGTGTGTGTGGTCCAGGTGTGCTGATTTTTGGAGTTTGGTGTGTGTGTGTGTGTGTGTGTGTGTGTGTGCGTGTGGCTGTGTGGGTGTGAGAGAGGGAGACAATCTGTGTCAGCATGCGTGTGTGCATGTGAGTCTGTGTGCAAGAAGAGAGTCTACATGAGGGATCGTGCATATGTGCATGTGAGCAGCTCTGTGTGCGCACATGCACGTTTGTGAGTGAGAGCAACTCTGGGAGGATGCTTGTGATAGTTCGTGCATCGCAAAGATGAGGCTGTGCACACCCCTCAAACTGCCTGGTGCAACCGCGAGCAACGCGCGAAGTATCAAAGCGCCAGGCAGCCCGCCCGCTACGGCCTGCTTGGCAGCCACTGCTGTTACCTCGGCCGCAGACCCATGACCTGCGACCCACAGCACCAAAGACCACTCACGAATATGTAGTTGCCCTGAGACACCAGGTAGGACAGCTGCCACAGGAACCGGTGGATCCCGAGCGCGCCCGCGCCCTGGGGCAGGTACCTGGCGCGCAGCGGGGCGGGCGGACCCAGGCGGCGTCGGTTCAGCGGCGCTGACGCGCAGGCGGCGGGCGGAAGGCGGGCCGGCGGCCGAGCGGGCGGCGAGCGGCTGCGCGCGCGGCGAGTGCCAGCAGGTCGGAGGATCCTTCTAGAATCTAGCCGTGCTGCCTCGTGCTGAAGCAGGAAGCGCGCCGCCCTGCTGCTGACCACCGGAACCCCTATCGCCTCGGCTTCGGGCGCCCGCGCCCACCAGTTGCACATCGTCAGCTTGAACTCCGACCCCCACTCCGCGCGCGCGGACGGGCTCGTGTACGAGTCCAGGAACGGCGCCGACCACGGCCGGTTGCAGCGCGCGTCCTGGCCCGCGGCGGCGGGCGGCGGGTGGGCCATTCCCGAGTATGCATAGCTGGGCGGCACAGCTAAGTTTGCCGGCTTGAGGGCGAGGTACTGGGGGTCGAGGGTCTTTTTGAGGGCGACGTAATCGTCGGGGTCGTTCTGGGGGGGATGACGCGGGGTTCCAGCAGTGAGGTCGTGGCGGTCTGAGGGTTGCTCAGAAAGCAAGTGGCCGACAAGCATCGGCGTGGCCAGGCCGATCGCCCTCTGCTTTGACCCTGGGCGAGGGCCGCCCAAGGAGCTGCGGAGGCGCTTGGGCAGGGGACCAGCTCACGGGCGCATCCTAAGCGGCCGTGCAAGGCCATGCGCTACTGCACTTGATGCGCAGTGGGTGAACTCAAGCCGTGCCGCGCCCAACCCGTCCCGTCGCCCACCGCGCAGGCCGTGAAAACGGAGTAGTCTTTGAGGTCGTCGGCCAGCGCCGAAAACGTGAAGGGCACGCGCAGCGCGTTGATCCCCAGCAGCCGCAGCCGCTGCGCGACCGACGCAAAGTCCCCCGTCATGCGGCGCTTCCAGTAGTATATCTTTTGAGGGAAGCGATGCGCGTCCGGGGGTGGGCGCCAGGGTTGGGGTTTGGCAGGCCCGGGGGCGCCGCCCGCGCGCAGGCGGCGCAGGGTCTTGCTGGGGCATGCGAGCAGTGGTGTGGCGTGCTAGCGCATGTTGCATGACAAAGGGCACTGACACGTCCTGATCGCTTGCATGTGACGCTATGCATCCCGCCCCCCCCCCCCCACACACACACACAAACACACACATACACATACACGCACGCACGCACACGCACACGCACACGTATGTGTGCGCGCCTGCGTGCAAACACACGCACACACAAACCTGCAAGCTGTTCTGGCCGTCCGCCCCGATCGCCGCGCTGGGGAAGCTGCTGGGTGGCACTTCCCCGTCCTGGGTGCATGAAGTTGAGTTGTCATCACAGTAGGCCCTGCGTCAAGAGCAGCAAAGCAGGTGCAGCTGGTGTTGTAGGCGTGCAACCGTGCCAGATGCGAAGACGCGAGGGCGGTGGTGCTTGGCGTTGGGCCCACCACCCCTGAGCGTTGCAGTCAAAGCATGCAGCGGCCGCAGTCGCAGCGCCCGTGCCTGTGCGCTTGCGGTGCATTCCATGGTGGGGCCGCGACCACAGCCTCATGCGGCCCCTGCGGCCCCAGGGCCCCATGCCTCCGGCCGCACCGGCGCTCCGCACGAGCAGCTCACCAGAGCCCGTCAAAGTTGTGCGCACCGACCTCCCATCCAAACCAGTTGACGCCTCTCAAGGCCGCCGGCGCCGCCTTTCCCGAGCCGGCGGCCCGCACCAGGTTGCCGCTCTTGTCGACCGTCAGCTTTGGCAGCACGCGGCTGGTGCCGGCCGGGTGGTCCCAGGGGGACGGGCAGGCGCGGGGGACGCGGTTGCCGTTGTTGTCGACGCGGCACGCACACGCGTCGGCCGGCAGGGGCGGCACCGGGTTGGGGACGACCGCGGCGGCGGCGGCGGCGGCTGCTTGGGTGGCAGAGGTTTGGGGGTGCGGCGGGCAGCGGGTGGGATGGGTGTGGTTGAGCGGGCGGAGGAGGGGTCGCTCCTGCCGGCGTGGTTGGATTGCTGAGCCACTTCAAGGCCGAGCACGCCTGCCGTGCGCTCACCCAAGAGCGGCGGCGCGGAGCTGTCGGCCTGACATGTGAATTCTCGGACTGCAGAGTCCGCGGCGGGCGCCTGACAGCTGAAGCCGTCGGGGCAGCAGGAGCCCGGGCTGGGGCCGGACGCGTCTCCTGAGGGGGGGTGGCGTGCTCGCTGCTCGGAGAGGGGTTTGCTGACCGTTGCTTAATGTGTTGTGAGGCGAGCAAAGCAGGCAGCCCTTTGGTGCGACCGGCGGGCAAGACGTGTGCGTGCCGCTGCGCAGCGCCGCCGCGAGCCTCCCTGACCGCCTGCGACGGCGCGAAGCGTTCCGGCCACCATCCTGCTGCGCCGCCTCACCGCATGCGCCGCCGGGCAGCACTGATGCCGAACAGGCCTCTGCCGCCGCGGCCGCCCTCGCAAATGTCTGCCTCCCGGCCGGCTTCTCCACACAGGTGGCCGGCCCGCCGGGGCGAGTGGGGTCGGGTGTGCAGGAGAAGCCCAAGGGACAGCAGCCTTTGTCCACTGGCGTCGGCTTGTCGGAGCAGAGGGCGCCAGCACTGAACATGATAGTGCAGCCGGGCAGGAGGAACGGGGCCAGCTGCGGGCCGCCTTGGGCTGCGGGCGGACGCGGCAGGCGGCGGGGGCGGGGGGCATGCGAGGTTTGGGCGAGAGCGGCTGCGGGCTCGCAATTGGTTTGGGCCTTGGTCCCCTGGACACGCGCCCGCGCGCCGCTGGCCGGTGCGGGGGTCTGGGTTCCTTGGGCATGGCCGGGGCGTGCTGCGGGGGTGCGGGTGGGTCGGTGGCGGAGTAGCCGGTGCAGCCGGAAGCGCAAGGAAGCCCCGCAAGAGCCCGCCCTGCACAGCATGCACCTTGCGCCATGGCCAGGAAGCCCAAGAGGAGCACCGAAGCCAGCGCCATTGCTACTTTGTTATCTGATACTTGCGCGTTTCCACTGCGTGCGACCCTTTGGCTGGAGCCCCGCACGAGGCCGCGGCCACCAGCACTCGGCACGATCCCGGTGGGACGTGCGTAATTTTTTCAATTGGACCCGGACAAGCGGCAGATGGTACATTCATTAGATTAATTTGACTGACAGGACGTACCGCTGCGGGTTTGTTGCGGGCGCCGCAGCTGGGCAGCAAGTCATTGTCGATGATGCTTCGGTCGGCGGTGGCCACACTCGGGTGACGGGCGCACGCAGCTCTGCTTTTGTACCCAGCCAGCCAGATGACGAGCATGCAGCCAACACAGGGGCATTCGCCCATTCAAGCGCCGTCCCGGTTGCGCGGGGTGCGGTTGGGGAGTATTCCGCAGTGACCAGCAGCTGCACGCCCCCCAGTCAGGTGGGCTGTGTGCCACCAACACGCAGCCCTCCCTGCCCCGGCTGTTACCCATGTGTAAGAATGCCTGAAGACGGCTGCCCCTGGCAATTTGTGCCCCTCTGCTCCCAGAAAAATAACCCCAGAGGGAAGCTGATGAGTCTTAGTCAACAGCTGCTGCTGTCAGTCACAAAATGCCACTGCCTCTGCGGGCACGTGCAACCGCTCTCACCTGACTTTTGAGGGATTTGTGCGTCCTGAAGTTCCCGCACCTGCTTGATGATTTCCAGGATCTGGCTGTAACAGCCTATCTGATGTGCGTGGTGCCCTGATGCAACAAGTTCTATAAGACTGTCATCCGACTCACGGCGCAGGGTGTGTTATCTCCCCCCACCCCACGGTTTTGTCTGCCGCGTCAGTACCTCAGGCTTCCAGTCCTGCCAGTTGACGGCTACGCAAGCGAGAGCGTTGCACAAGGCGGCGCCACCACGGAGTGCCGCGGACTGTGTTGTACCCATGTGCAGTCCGCGCCTGCACCTCATGGAATACGCTGCCTCTAGGCTGCTGTAGCCGGTGTTCTGGAACACAGCACATGGATTCAGAGGGTTCGACGTCCTTTGGGGGGCATTGGGGCGGGATCGGCCGGCGCAGGAGCTGTCGGGTGAGGAGCTGGCAGAGGTTGCATTTCGGCTCTGGTGCGGAAGCCAAAGAATCAGGTGGACACCCACGGCAGAGTACTGCACATGCTGAATGATAAGGTAATCTCATAAAAGGTCATTTCAAACCACCCTTGCAAACATGTTCAAGGCAGTCCAGCTCAACGAAGCTGGCAGCACCCAATCCCGACCCGCGAGATCCCTCCTCCGCCTCTCAACCTGCACAGAGCTATTCAACAACTCTATCACTGCGATCCTACCGGCCCGACAGAGGTAAGGGCCCCGCGAAGCATCCATGACGCAAACCGCTCGTGGTGCCCGGCCGATCTGTCTGCATGGTGCTGCTTTCGTACTGTCTGCCAGCAATTAAAAGAGTGATGGCCCTTCTTCGCGCTCAGCCAAGCCTGACGCCATTGCGCTCTTTGAGTAGAGTAGAGTAGAGTAGAATGGACCGGGCGCTGGGCACCCAGTATGTTTTAAGGACGGGCGCGGGGGTCAGGGCAGCTGCCCGTTTCCCCGCTGCCCCACCGGAATTGCGCTCTTTGCACCTCCGCTTGTCTGCAGGCTCGCTGCAGGCTGCTTCCTCTCCTCCACCTCAGCTCCCGCACCAACCATGGCATCGATTAAGACCATGCTGGTGGGTACAAGGAGCGCATTGCAGGCGCAAGCGGGCTCTCCAGAGTTTTTACAAGCGCCGGGGCCAGCGCTGGCGTCGCTGCTTGTTCACCCACAGCTGCGCCGTCCCCGCTTTGCCCCCACCCACCCCAGGCCTTCCTGCACCTGGCGGCTTTGGCCGACGCCATCAACGCGCCACCACCATCAAGACCGCTAGTGACATCATCACATCCGACACCCCTGCCACGGCCGCCAAGCCTCTGGCGCCTGTCCCACGCGCCCCTGAGCACGGGTCAGCCGACAGGAGCAGCACCAGCCCCGAACCCTCCCCCCGCGTCGCCGCCGCCGCTGACGCACCCACGGCCCCCAAAGCCGGCTGGTTTGCGTGCGCGGTGTCCGGCCTTGAGGCCAAGTGGCGTGCCGCGACAGCCGCCGCCGTCGTCAGCAAGACTGCCCCCTCGCCCCAGGAGGCTGCGCCCTTGCTACGCGCAGCCAGCGCGGCCTCCACCTCCGACCCGAGCCTCGCCACGAAAGCCGTCGCCGCTGTCGTTGATGGCAACGCACACGACCCCAAGTCCCCCAAGAAGACCCAATGGCTCGTGCGCGCAGTCGCGGCCGCTGAGGCCAAGTGCAGCGCTGCATGCGGGTCTGTCGCCACCTCGCGGCGCGCCACCGCCGCCAAGGCGGCGGCCGCGCTGACCCCCAAGAACAAGGCCTCGCTGAAGAAGGGGCGCCGCGGCAAGGCTGATGCCGTGACGACCTCTGTGCCCGCTGACGCTGCGCCCACCGCGCCTGCGGCCGGCCCCGACGCTGCCGGCAGCCCCGCGCCCGCCGCTGGCACCGATGCCGCGGTGGTCGTCACCGCTGTTGCTTCCACCACCCACGATCCCGCGCTGACAGCCCCCAAGCCCAGTTCCGAGGCCGGCGCTGCCGCCGCGCCCAGATGGAGGAAGAATCTCGGCGCCAGGTTCAGGGCCGCCTTGCCGCATGTCCGCGGCAGCGGGCGCACCCCTGCCTCCCGCCCTGTGAGCCGCATCAAGGGCCACCCCGCCCCCCTCAGCCGAGCCCTGCGAGGGCGAGGCTGGCGTTGCCACCCCCCCTAAAGCGCACACCGGCGCCGCGTTTGCCGCCAAGCTTAAGCTTGCCCGCCTCTCCCTGCGCCGCAGCCGCCCCCGACCAGGCGGCGGCGTCAGTGGCGGAAGTGGTGGGGGGCGAGGCGGCAGAGGCCTGCTAGCTGCAGGCACGCCCTGTCGTGCAGTTTCCTTGCCACCCCTTCATTCCTTGCAAGTGACCCTCTTGCGAGACGACATGCGTCGGCCCCGCCTTGTGCCTATGCCCCTTTTATGCCTGGCTGTTGCAATACCGCGTCGCCAGCTGCAATGAGCTGTGCCCAATGCCCTAGAAGCCCTTGCCCTGGGACACAGCACATGTGCACGCGCCACTCTCCCAGCCCTTCCTTGGCTGCATGTGGCCCTGACTGCGAGACGTGATCACATTGCTTGTCACCACCCATCCCTGATGCCGAACCGCCGGCGCGCGCCGCATGTCCCCTGATTTTGCGCCACGCCCTTTCTCATGCACCCGTGATCACACTGCATCTGTGCTGCCCCCCCCCTCCTGCGTGTAACCGCTTGACTCTTTCTGGTGACGGGCAGGGAGCGGTTACACTCTCGACCCCGACAGGGCCTTTTCCAATCCCAAGGTCAATATGCTGTGAATGATCGCGATGGACTCTGCGGCAGCAAGACGGCGAAAGGGGGAAGGGCAACCGCGTGCCCGGTCAGCAGCAGCGGAAGCGACGGCAACGCACAGGAGGGGCGCCACTTTCGCCAAAGCTGGCCGGCAGCCCTCCAGGCATCTGAGCTGCTCACAAAGTGCGCACTCCGTCGGGGCCGCAACGTAATCAGGGCGTGTGAGGGGCCAGCCCTGGCACCCCAAGCAAAGACGACCCCGACCACCCCCTTCCCCCGCACGAAAAAGCCCAGGGGCCCCTCCTAGCAAGGCTGTCCCCTCCGGCCACCCACCCCTGATCGCGTCGTCCACCTCTGCCATTTCGCTCTGCCTGAAGTCTTGCAGTACGTATGACGCGACGTCCAGGTTGCCTGTGGGGCGCCCGATGCCTGCGGCATGGATGGTCGGATGCGGCCCGGAGGGGTGGGCGCTGGGCGGAGGTATCCTGGTGGGGTGTCAGGGCGTGACCGGGCGGCAACATCGCGATTGCAAGTGGATGTGATGCGCTGCGCGTCGGCCGCATCGGCGGCTGGAAAGCCGCCCCTTTCGGCGCGCGGGGCGCCGCCCGATGCGCAGCCAGGGGCTGCGATGACGGGCGCGGCCGCGGGGCGCTCGCTCGCGTGCGAGGCACATTTTTGTTGCATTCCATGCGTTCCAGCACATGAGTATCAGGTGACGAGGCCAATCACAGAGTGCAACGAGATTATGCCCCATGCGCTGGGCGGCCGACGGGCACCGCGCACACCGCCGCGGGCCCCACCCCGTCCCTCCCCCACCTATTTTCAAGCGCGGGAAGTCGCTCTTGCCGCCGAACCGCTCGATGATGCTGCGCAGCCCGTTGTGGCCGCCGTGGCCGCCGCGCTGCTTGAGGCGCACCGTGGCCGTGGGGGAGTCGAGGTCGTCAGACACCACCAGGCAGCGCGACAGGGGCACCTGGGGGTGGGCATGGACATGAAGTGTGCGCCCAGGGCAAACCGAGGAATCAGGTGTTTGCAGGTATATGAGGCTGAAGAAGCGCGTGCAGAGGCGGACGCTTGGGTGCGCAGCCAGGGACAAACGCCGGGCTGCGCGCGTCCTGGCGCTTCCCTGGCGGCCGGCGGCGCTGCTGGGCGCGCGGCGGGTTGCGGCCGCACGGCTTCGAGCGCGCGCGGGGCGGGGCTGCATCCGGTGATGGGTGTGGCAGCCGCACCTTGTAGTATTTGGCCAGCGCCACGACGCTGTCCCCGCTGTTGTTCTGCCGCGACAAGCGGTCGATTTGTCGGCAGGGCGCGCGGGAGGTGAGGCGATTGAATCTCGCACGAGATAAGGCAAGCCGCCCGCGCCGAGGGAGGGGCCGGCCGCCGGCGGCGGCCGCGCCGCCGAGCCCGTCCCGCGTGCCCCCCACGAGCCGTCCCGCGGCCGGCAGCGGCGGCGCCCGTCCCGCGCCGCGGCCCGAGCGCCGCCCACCATGAACGTGACCGGCTTGGCGAGCAGCACCTTGCGCCCCGCCACCTCGCCGCGCCCCACTGCCGCGCTCTTCTCCAGCTTGCGCACGTCGATGCCTTCGCTGCGCGCCAGCGCGTCGATCAGCATGAACCCCACCTGTCGCGGCGGGCGGCCAGGGCCGGGGCGGCGGCGGCCGGACGCTGTGTGTCGTCGCGTCGCCGCGGGCGGCGGTCGGGAGGGGCGGGGGTGGGC